ACAGTGTGGCTGGAGGCAGAGCCTTCAGTACTGAGGCCGGCTCACAGGCGCGTGTGTCTGTATATGACAGAGCTTAATGCTCCACCGTGAATCTGTGAGGAGCCAGGCTGAGCGCAGGCAGGTCACTTCCCTTAGGCCTCGGGGCCGTTTGCCTGCAGCCGGCGCTGTAGCCACAGGCTGTGCTGCTGCACTGAAGGCTGAGGCCACCGCCCGAGGGCCCAGGAGGATCGCGTGCCACAGGTGCCACGTGGAGCAGTGGTGAACATGATTACATAAGATGCCCTTTGACCCAAGTCAGGCCCCAAGGACTCTGGCTAATTTTCAGATTTATCTCACTCATAGTACTAGTTCAGGGAAAGGAGGGAATACTTCCTTTTATCCACTTAAATGCAGTTAGCTAAGGATTGCAAGTATTTAAATGATGAGCACTCCTCTATTTTCCTGTGACTGAGTAGGAGCTTAGGGGTGACCTGTGGGGAACAGAGGAGTAAGCAGCAGGAGAACTACATGAACCAGGTATCAACATTTATTTCTGCTCCCTCCTCCAAAGTTTTGGGCAAGCTGTGCACCCGCATGAGCGAGGAAGAGGGACTGAGGAAATCAGGATGCCGTAGCAGAAAGGCTTTTTGTCCTGTTTCTATTGCAGTAAAATATATACATAGATTGGCCAGTTTAAGTGTCCAGTTCAGTGGTATGAATTACATGTTATATAACCATCGCCACTATCTATTTCCAGAATTTTTATCACTCTAAACAGACTCTGTCAGCATTAAGCAATAACTTAACTTGCACCCAGTAACCTCTGCTCTATTTTCCGTCTCTGTGAATGTGCCTGTTCTAGATCTTTCATGTAAGTGGAAGCGTATGAGACTCGTCCTTTGGCGACTGGCTTTTTCACTTAGCATGATGCTTTCAGGACTATTCGTGTTGTAGCATGCATTCCATTGTCTGAACATGCCACCTTCTGTATGTCCAGTCATCTGTTGATGAACATTCAGGTTGTTTCCTGAATGTTGGTTAAATGTGAATAGTGCTGCTATGAATATTGGCATGTGTGTATCTGTTTGACTGTGTGTATACCTAGAGATATGCCTGTTCTGTGTGTGTAATGGGATTGCTGAGTCAGTGCAGTAACGTAACATCCCCTGGAAAAGGAGAGGGATGGGAGTGGGTGCTCAGTGGGTAGAGCTTCTGTTTGGAGTGAGGGAGAGCCTAGGAGTGGATAGTGGTGAGGACCACACAGCATCGTAAGTGTAGCTAACGTCACTGGATTGCACACTTCAAATGATTGAAATGCTTAAGTTTTATGTTGTGTTTTGAAGAATATCATAAAAAAATTGGTACGAGTTTCAAACTCAGTGATAAGGATACAGAGAGCTAAGTTGATTATAGCTTACTGAGTTTTAAAACAAAAGTTCCTGCCAAAACCGGTTTGGCTCAGTGGTAGAGTGTCGGTCTGCAGACTGAAAGGTCCCAGGTTCGATTCCGGTCAAGGGCATGTACCTTGGTTGCAGGCACATCCCCAGTAGGAGGTGAGCAAGGGGCAGCTGGCTGATGTTTCTCTCTCATCGACATTTCTAGCTCTCTATTTCTCTCCCTTCCTCTCTGTAAAAAAATCAATAAAATATATATATATATTTTTTTTTTTTTAAAAAGAACTATGTTAAAACAAAAGTTCCTGTGCATTTATTGGGCACTTTTTAAAAAATATTTTTTATTGATTTTCTAGAGAGGGAAAGAGAGAGGGATAGAGAGTTAGAAACATCAATGAGAGAGAATCATTGATCAGCTGCCTCTTTTACATCCCCTACTGGGGATATGCCCACAACCAAGGTACATGCCCTCCCCTGCCAACCTGGTCCCCCCCAACTGCCCTCCCCTGCTGGCCTGATTGCCCCCAACTGCCCTCCCTTGCCAACTATTTTGTGGTGGCCACCTTGTGATGGTGGCCATCTTGTTGTGGCCATCTTGTGATGACATTGTGCGAGGGTGTTACGTGAGGGCTTGATGCCACCTAGGCTTTTATTATATAGGATATTGTCTAAATAACTTAGATCATTCATTTCCATTATTCAGAACCCTTTTTTTTTTTAACCTCCTTGAGATGAGGTACTCATAAATTCTGTTCTTTTTTTAATTTCTTTATTGATTAAGAAATTGCAGGAATGTAACATAACATTTATTGATTAAGGTATTACATATGTGTCTTTATTACCCCATTACCCGTCCCCATTAATGCCCTTACCCCCCTGTTGTCTGTGTCCATTGATTAGGCTTATATACATGCATATAAGTCCTTTGATTGATTTCTCCCCCTTACCCCTACCCTCCCTTACCTTCCCTGAGGTTTGACATTCTGATCAATTTTTCTCTGTCTCTGGATCTATTTTTGTTCATCAGTTTATGTTGTTCACTGTTCCTTTTTTAAAAACTTGGAAAATCCTATCTCTTTAATAATAGTCTTTAACGCCATTTTACTGAATATGACTATTATAAAATTTCAACATATTTTCAAAGAAGGAACATGAAGTAGTATTGATAACTATGGGAAGAACTGAAGAAAAGTACAGAATATAGCAGGCTAGCCTTATTGCAGTCGATGTGAGATTAGATATTTTAGATGTAGTTGTATGGCAAGATATTAAGTTCTCTTAATATCTTTGTAGTTTTCTGTGGAAAGCTTCTTGTAACAACCATTATGGTTTAAAAAATTAGCAAGCAGAAGAATCACGCATATTTTCATGAATACTGTCCCTGCAAAATGGCAGGCCACCACTGCACCTGACTTCCAGAAGCCAAGTGACATAACATTTATAAAAGAGAAGTTACAACATTATAAGAAATCAGCCGAAACTAATTTAGCTCAGTGGATAGAGCGTCAGCCTGTGGATTGAAAGGTCCCAGGTTTGATTCCGGTCAAGGTCATGTACCTTGGTTGCGAGCACATCCCCAGTGGGGGGAGTGCAAGAGGCAGCTGATCAATGATTCTCTCTCATCGATGTTCCTAACTCTCTAGCCCTCTCTCTTCCTCTCTGTAAAAAATCAATAAAATATATTAAAATCACTACAGCCCTAACTGGTTTGGTTCAGCGGATAGAGTGTTGGCCTGCGGAATGAAGGGTCCCAGGTTCGATTCCAGTCAAGGGCATGTACTTTGGTTGCGGGCACATCCCCTGTAGGGAGTGTGCAGGAGGCAGCTGATTGATATTTCTCTCTCATCAATGTTGCTAACTCTCTATTTCTCTCCCTTCCTCTCTGTAAAAAAATCAATTAAAATTTAAAAATCATACAGATAATTTTGTTTTTGCAAAAGCACATTTCTTGGACTTTTAGTGCCGAGCCACAAGGGGGCTAACGTGGTACATCACTAATCCTGTGCTGCAGGAGTTGTGACCCGATAAAGATGAGGCCGGACACCAGTTACTGTAATGCAGCCCGTGTCATACAGGGCCAGAGACAGGACTCAGAGGAAACGAGTTTACTTCAGGCTCCTGTTATAGGGCAATGCATCGATTTTGTTAGGGGAGAAGATGAGTAGGCGTCGATGAGAGGAAAATGTTCCAACTGATGGAAGCTGTAAGTGCTCTAAGTGCTGTATTAGGGAGATGAAGAATTGATCGGTCTGGTCACAACCGGGGGTTTACTTAGAAGGCAGCTGAAACCCTAGCCTATTTGGCTCAGTGGATAGAGCCTCGGCCTGTGGACTGAAGGGTCCCAGGTTTGATTCCGGTCAAGGGCATGGACCTTGGTTGCAGGCTCGATCTGGCCCTGGTCAGGGCACATATGGGAGGCAAGCAACTGATATATCTCTCTCACATCCATGTTTCTCTCTCTCTCTTTCTCTCTCTCTCTCTCTTCCTCTCACTCTAAGAATCAGTGGAAAAATAACTTCCAGTGAAGATAAACAACAACAAAAACCAGAAGGCAGTAGAAGCCAGGATTCTGGACATAATATCTTTGTATTCTCAGTCGTGGTGAACACACTAAATTGCTGGGAAATATCTTGTTTGAGACAGACCAGCTGAAGGTCTGGACAGTCAGAGAGTCTCTCAATTTGAATATGAAAATTATAACTGATACTGGGAATTTAGTGAAAGTTGACATTATAACGTATAATGATTAAATTTTGAGCATCATTTAGGAGCTGTGGGCCAAGCATTTAATTTATTGGTGACGTTTTTATTTTTAGAAGTTTGTATTACTTAACTTCTTTTTACCAGGAAAAATGTTTCTGTGGCCATTAGCTCTGGCATCCGAATTGCTACTGCTCTTCTGGGATCCAGAAGTAGTTTCAAAGTTATCAGGCCAGAGTTTGAAGAGGAAAGCTTAACCCTTTAGCCAGCAATTTCATATGATGAACACATGCGTCTCCCTGTTCAGTTCTGTTTTATTTGGGACCCGCTAGGACTTCACATTACACACAGTTATTCCATTTTTTTTCTCTAGGAGAATCAAGTTTTTGGTCAGGTTCCAACCTGCATAAACCTCCATACTTCTGTTTAAATCTATTTTTTGTTGATACTTTTGATTATAATTCTGCAAAAATGGTTTCTGTGTGTGCTGATAGAAGCAGTCAAATGTCAGCATCGTCTTAATCAGGCCAGTCGCTGTGTTTTCTGAGGGTTTTCACGCATTTAGTTTTATTTGAAAATTGTATTGTTAGCAGCCATCATTGCTTTAAGGTGTTCTACCATAAGCTATTTTGTATTTTACTTTTAAAAAGTTGCCGAGCTGAAACCAGTTTGGCTCAGTGGATAGAGCGTCGGCCTGCGGACTGAAAAGTCCTAGGTTTGATTACAGTCAAGGGCATGTGCATTGGTTGTGGACACATCCCCGGTGGGGGGTGTGCAGGAGGCAGCTGGTTGATGTTTCTCTCTCATCGATGTTTCTAGCTCTCTATCCCTTTCCCTTCCTCTCTGTGAAAAATCAATAAAATATATATTTTTTTAAAAGTTAAAAATCACTTACCCTAACGTTGGTACTTCATTTACTTCCTCAAGGACTTTCCTCGGGAGATGCCGCACCTGTAACACAAGAAGACGTGCTGAGTGCATCCACACATGCGGATGGCGGGGAAGAGTCTGCCAAAGGACATGCTCACGACCAGCCGGAAGCCCCGACCCCAGCTTTGCAGTCTCTGTTCTTGCTGATCCGAGGTGAAGTGGAGCAGTTGGACTCGAGAGCACTTCCCCTTTGCCTTCATCAGGTACTGTGTTAAACCCTTCATTCTTCTAAAATTCTGGGGCCATTCTTAGTAACGACCTGAATCCAGTCCCGTCATTGATTCTGTCCTTGGGGAGCCCATGAGAAGGGACCTGGGCACGTGGGGTGGTGGGAAATTTGAATATTACTGAATAGTGGCCACTCAGTGGACATAGATACTAAATCAATAGTTCTGATAACCGCTAGCTTCTTTTATTTAGGGAAGAAGCTGTTTGCAATTTAGAGTCCATTTAGCAAGCACTTAGTGAGCACCAGGTAGGTGCCGAAAACAGCGCCAGAGACCAGGGAAGCAAGATTACCTGCCAGGTGTAGCCTTCAGAGAGCCTCTGTGGAAGGGGAGATGCAGCTGTGTGGGTAAAAAACTATGGGAATCTGAATTCAGTGTTGGAATAGACAGTTCTTTAAGCCTGGAATACGTGGTTAATGTTGTCCCATAGGGTATGAGGGACTTGCAGGATGTGTATGCCAAGCATGTCAGACTCAAAGGCTAACACAGGCCAAATAAAGGAGGCCTGTGGTCCAAGGGCCTCGAGTTTGACATGCTTGATGTAGCACTTCCTGGGAGAACAAAGTGAGGTGGTGTAGGAAGAGAGGTCACAGTGGGGTATATCACTGGAGGTTAACATGGAACGAGATGGGAAGTGAAAGTGGGTAGCTGGCAGCATTGAGGCTTTAGGGACTGGGGTTGTTTAATTATGTGTGCCAGGATCAAATCTGAATTTTAGAAATAGAACTCTCTGATGACTGGGAGGGTAAGCTAGGCGATGGGGAGCCTGGAGGTCGGGAGGCCTTAGGACAGTGATGAGGGAGCTTTCTTTCTTACACAAGAGCAAATTCAGAAAAAAAAAATAATGAATTTATGAGCTATGTTTTCTTTTCCCTTAAAATGAAATTAACTGGTATAGGGGAATGGAAAAAGCTTGGCCTTTTTCTTCATTTACTTCTGTTGCATTTTAACTTTTGCAATGAGTAGAAAGTAATTTTAAAATTTTTAAAAGTAAAATAGAAAATAGCTTTTGTCCCAAGGCAGGAAAATGTATCCTATATAATAAAGAGCAAATATGCTAATGATTGTGATGACCTCACGCCGTAACAGCCTATCAGCAGGAGGCTGCATGGGCAGCAGGCATGGGTAGGTGGGGACTTGATGCTGGCCAGGGTGTGTCCTGTGTCCCCCCCACCAGTGGGGCTTGATGGGGGTGGGGCCCACCGGATCTGGGTATTGCCCAGTGGGAGTGGGGCTGGCCAGGTACCCAATTTATTCCCTTTCAATGTGCATGGATTCCATGCACCAGGCCACTAGCATTCTTATAAATTTATAGTGCCTGCTTTGTGGACTTGAATGCCTTTGAGAAAATGGGTGCTGTTTTTCAACCTCTAAAACCTTCTAACTTGCCTGTCTGGTGTGGCTCAGCGGCTGAAGTCAACCAGGAATCAAGGTCACGGGTTTGATTCCCTGTCAGGGCACAAGGTTGGATTGTGGGCACAGTCTCCAGGAGAGGGGGGGTGCCGTATATGGGATGGGAGGCAGCCGATCATGATGTTCCTCTCTCATTGATGTTCTATCTATCACTCTCCTTTCCTCTCTAAAAATCCATAAAATCATGTTTGAAACCTCCTAGTTGAGCAGCACCGACACCAAGGCAGCTGCTCATGCTTCAGCCTTCATGTATTTGTACAGTAGAGACTTTACAAAGGGTAATCACACTTCCTGTCACTCATCCTCCTAACAGCCATAGCGGTATTAGCATCACCCATTCACAAATGGGAAAGCAGGCTCCTTTACAAAGCAAGTTTCTTCTCATTCTGGGGCTGGAATGGGTTTATTCCATTCATTGTATCTGTTTTTGTAACAACTTGGGTGAAATTTGAATCTGGGCTATTTCTTAGGTTACATTGTTTAATCACATCTAATTTCTTGAGGTTGACAATATAATTGTAGGTTAGGGAGGAGAGTGTCCTAGTTCTTTGGACACACACTTGCAAGTATTTAGGAGGGATGCATTTAGGAATGGCTTTGAATAATGCCAGCAGCTTACTCGAGATCTTTCCGTTGGGGGAGAAAAAAAAATACGTAAGAGAGAAAGCACATTTGGCAAGATGTCAACAATCAAGGAATCTATAGTTAGGGGTGTCGAACTCAATCAGAGAAGGGGCCAAAATCTAAAATCCAGCCTAAATCGCGGGCCGAATGGTTTACTGAAAAGTCATAAACTGTCATTGTGATGGAAACGCATCGGAGTGCAGTGATGACAGCGCGGTGCGGGCCACATTGCAAGGCCTGGCGGGACGGATTTGGCCCGCGGGCCTTGTGTTTGACACACGTGGGCTAGAGCGTCGGCCTGCGGACTGAAGGGTCCCAGGTTCGATTCCAGTCAAGGGCATGTACCTTGGTTGCGGGCACATTCCCAGTGGGGGGTGTGCAGGAGGCAGCTAATCGATGATTCTCTCTCATCGATGTTTGTAACTCTCTCTTCCTCTCCTTTCCTCTCTGTAAAAATCAATAAAATACATTTAAAAAAAGAAAGAAAGAAAGAAAATGGTGCCCTCGCTCCCCAGGAACTTACTAGGGTGCTGAGCCTGTGGGTCACACTTCTTCAGTGGCTCAGCCTGCTCTCCGGGCAAAGAGCCGGACGCATCCGGTGCGCTTGGGAAGGATGGGCTTTGGCTCCACTTCTGACAGGCTCAGTGGCTCCAGCTTCTTCTCGGAAGTGGTAGAGCAAGTGAGATAATGCAGTAACAGCACTTAACATAGTGCTTGGAGCACAGTAAAGCCAAATAAACATGAGGCATCCCTCTGTTCTCACTGTCACACGCTCAGTGACAGGTGTTAGGAATGAAGGCTGGGTCGGCAAAGCCATGCTGAAGGTGCAGCCGCTGAGCCACAGGACAGCAGAAGCAGCTGAGGCCCACAGCCCCGGGGGACAGACAGTCCTCCTTCCTCCCAGGGAGACACACAGTCCTCCTCCCTCCCAAGGAGACACGGATCCTGGCGAGACGGGTGACGTCATTCGTTTCCGTCTCCCAGCGCCTCGCCCTGAGCCTTTGGCCTGGACTCGCCAGTGGTTGACATTTCACCAAATTTTTGCCCTCCCCCCCACACATATTTTCCATGGAAGCACTTTTCCCCACATCCAAACCCGGGAGGCAAGTCCTGCAGATCTACTTCAGCAGTGTCCACAGTCTGAGCTCTTCTTGCCTCCTTCATTGCTGCCATCTTAGCACAAGACACTGTGAAATCTCACCTGGAGACCTCTCTGCTCGCACCCTGACTTCCGTTTAGTTGTTCCCTCTGTACAGCAGTCACTGTGGTCCAGGTGACATGTAAGCCAGGCCACGTTACCCCTCTGCTCTGAGCCCTCCAGTCCTCGCTTCTTGTTTAGAGGAGAAGCCAGAATTCTTTTTTTTTTTTTTTAAATATATTTTATCAATTTTTTACAGAGAAAGGAGAGGGATAGAAAGTTAGAAACATTGATGATGAGAAACATCGACCAGCTGCCTCCTGCACACCCCCCACTGGGGCTGTACCCACAACCAAGGTACATGCCCTTGACCAGAATCAAACCTGGGACCTTACAGTCTGCAGGCTGACACTCTATCCACTGAGCCAAACCGGTTTTGGCAGAAGCCAGAATTCTTACCATGGCCCACAAGGCCTTACAGGGTCAGGCTAGTTCCTCTTCGACCTTCATTTCCAAAACTCTCCTCCTCATTCACTGCTTCCCAGGAGAGAGGCGGAGGGAATCGCCAGTGGACAGAGATTCTAAGATGACAGCTATCCACCAAGGAGAGGGTAATCTGTCAGTCTGTGTGGAGCAGATCAGCAGAATCTGAAGAGAGACTCTTATACCGAGTTCCTGCTTCAGAATGATTGATGTGTCTGAGTATACTGAGAGAAGATTAGGCTCTTAGTAGAGTATTTGGAGTTATTCACATGAGAAATTCATGGAAAACTCTGCTCAGAAAAAAGGAAAAGAAAAGAAAAAAGTAGCTCCAGAAGCCATAACCGGTTTGGTTCAGTGGATAGAGCGTCGGCCTGCAGACTGAAGGGTCCCAGGTTCGATTCCGGTCAAGGGCATGTACCTTGGTTGCGGGCACATACTCAGTAGGGGCTGTGCAGGAGGCAGCTGATCGATGTTTCTGACTCTCTCTCTCTCCCTTTCTCTTGGAAAAAAATTAATAATTTTTTTTAAAGTAGCTCCAGGAAAAAATAAGTGTTTAGAAAAAAATAATAATAATAGTTTGGCCCATAATAAGGTAAGCATTAAATATTTGTCTATCCATTGCCATAATGTAACAATATGGGTTGCTGAATATGTATGAGAAAAAAAGTATATGTGTTTGTGGGATTGAGGTAGAGGAGAATCAAGAGTCAATATTTGCCTTCCACTAAAAACGAAAAATCATGAGTCAGCAAATTAAGCAAAATGTTTAGAGACATAGAAGTTAAAAAAAAAAAAAGAAAAAGAAAAGAAAAAACAGGAAAAAGAAATCTCAGTGCCTGCTCCGGAAGGAAGGAAGGAAGGAAGGGGAGGGGAGGGGAGGGGAGGGGAGGGGAGGGGAGGGGAGGGGAGGGGAGGGGAGGGGAGGGGAGGGGAGGGGGAAAGGAAAGGAGTATAGAACAAGGGGGTGGGGCTTTCTTAACACACCTTAGAGAGCTATTGGCTCCTTGTACCATGTACATTCCTGATTTTGGTAAAAATAAGAACTAAAGAGTGACAGTTGTAACTTAAGCATGAGGTGAGAAGAGCATCCAGGTTAAGGCAGTGGCAGTGGAAACAGAGAGGGATGACTTTGACATCTTCAGAGAAAGAATCACGAGGGCTTGGTGCAGACAGCAAAGGGCGTGAGGGAAAGGTCAGAGGCAACGCTGGGAGGTGCAGTTTGGAGGAACGGCACGGACCATTACTAGAAGCTGAGGATTAAAGAAAGAGAGTTAACTTGGGCTGATGATTATTTTTAAAGTGATATCATGGGACATATCCCTAAACGCCATTAGAAACATGACGGCAGTTACTTAAGATATTACTTTACACCGTGGGAACTTTTAAAGACTCCATTTAAAAATTCCAGTTCTTGCCGAAACCAGTTTGGCTCAGTGGATAGAGCATCAGCCTGCGGACTGAAAGGTTCAATTCTGGTCAAGGGCATGTACCTTGGTTGCGGGCACATCCCCAGTAGGGGGTGTGCAAGAGGCAGCTGATCGATGTCTCTCTCTCATTGATGTTTCTAACTCTATCCCTCTCTCTTTCTCTTTGTAAAAAATCAATTAAAAAAAAATTCTGGTTCTTGGGTCTGAGTAACGTTTCATACATCGACTCGGTCAGCATGACTGCAGGTCAGCCTTCCTGTGGGGCTGACGTCTGAGCCTGGAAGCGGGAGGCAGGACACCCAGGGCTGTGAGCTTTCACCGAGAGGCATCGGATCCGGCAGGAAGGGCCTCCCCCGGCCCCTTGCAGCCCCTCTGGAAGACACCTTCCTGGTCCCTCCATGTTCCTGGCAGGTAGCAGCCTGGAACCAGGACCCCTTAAAACGTTTACCCTCCCGGATGTTCAGCTTCCCTCTTCCCGTGATTCTACTCTGCCTCTTGCATTCCCGGTTCAGACTCACCTCCAAACACCACTCTAAGCACTGCTGGTATATACTAGGCATTGTGCTAACCACGCATTCGCAGCCCTGCAGCCGCTCTGCTCATAGAGCTGTCGATGTTATTGTCATATCTGAGACGTGAAATGACACGTCCAAGGTCACAGCTGGCAGTGACAGAGCTGGACGGCAGTGCAGTCACGTTATTCACCTCCGATCTTCGCGTTCTCCCGGATTCAGACACGAGGACCTCCAAGAAAGAGCACACCTTCTCCTGCGCTGCTTTCACAGGGACACATCCTGCATGTTCGTTGCCAAGCCGTCCTTTCACCCGGAAGCACCTCTTGCCTGAGGCATGGGTTTTCGTGATTCAGTCTTCGCGGTTGCTTTTGTGGTCTCGGAACTTCCAGAAACCTGAGAGCTACCTGAAGTCTGTGTTTCTCTGGTGCCAGGAAATGGGGGTCAGATGGGTCTGGGCTCCATCAATACGTCTTTTTAAAAAATATATATTTTATTGATTTTTTTTTTTTTTTTTTTTTTTTTTTTTTTACAGAGAGGAAGGGAGAGGGATAGAGAGATAGAAATTTCGATCAGCTGCCTCCTGCACATCTCCTACTGGGGATGTGCCCTCAACCAAAGTACATGCCTTTGACCGGAATCAAACCTGGGACCCTTGAGTCCACAGGCCGGTGCTCTATCCACTGAGCCACACTGGTCAGGGCCCATCAATACTTCTTAAACGAGAGCGTTTATTCATGTGATGCACAAGCACACAAAGGCCAGGAGGTCGCTTTGAAGAGCGGACAGAGGTCCTTGCTGATGAGCAGCCATGTCTCCTGCCACGGATGGTGGGAAACCTGTGCCATGCCGCAGATCTCTCACCGGGAGCTTGTGGGTGCGATGTGGTCACTGGTCTCCGTTGGGTGTAACACAGGGATGAGCGGGACCTGCTAACACGCCAGCTCCGGGAGCTGTATGCAGTGGCATCCGTCATGTTGGCAGCTTGAAGTCGGCCATGATGGTAGGATTGGCATCACAGAAATGAGCAAACACTGCCCATCGGCCTCTCCCAACACTGCGCAGCCCATTAGTCCATGTTTGGGTGCAGTCTCTGGAACCCTCATTTTGTAGGGGGAAATGGTGGAATAATGACAGTTTGATTTGGTTCAGACTAGCACTGCAATCGCACACTGTTAGAACAGTGAGCTGATCAAAGACAGGCAGGATCCAGCAAACCCTTCGTTCCTGTGGAAAGTCCTAAGAGTAGAAAATGAGTATGGAATTGCCGAAACCGGTTTGACTCAGTGGTAGAGCGTCGGTCTGTGTACTGAAAAGTCCCAGGTTCGATTCCGGTCAAGGGCATGTACCTTGGTTGCGGGCACATTCCCGATAGGGGGTGTGCAAGAGGCAGCTAGTCGATGTTTCTCTCTCATCGACGTTTCTAGCTCTCTGTCCCCCTGTCTTCCTCCCTGTAAAAATTCAATAAAATATATTTAATAAAAGAAAGAAAAGTATGGAATCACACTTGAGGTGGAACTGAATCGTCACCGAAAGGGGACTCTCTGGCTCCTGGGAAAGTGCTCTATGAATAGAATGCATTTTTAGTCAGGTAAATATTTCCCTTTGAAAGCACGGTGTTTCCACTGTGGGGTCTGGAGAAGCCTCTCTGTCTCCCTGCCGGCTTACAGTCTGACAAACAGGCCGCTGCTGTTTACACCGGCGGCTCTGGAGGTGGTTTTAGAAGCGTCAGGTGCTTATAGGAAGCATCCCAAAGACGACAGCAGTTGAGGCAGGTATTTCTCACCAGACACCGTTTGATGGTTTGGCTTATAAATAAAGGTCTAAATAAAAGATGGAAGTTTTTAGAACCAAAGACTGTTTAAACCTAAAGGCGCCTTAGGATCAGTGTGGTAACGGACAGGCCTCCCCGGGGACCAGCGCCTGACGCTCTGGACGCTCCATCCAGTGCCCTTTACACTGCGCAGCTCCGCGAGCAGCGCCCAGGCCTCATTGCTCAACTCTGAGCACGTGGCCGCCTGCTCTGGAGTCAGAACAGACAACAGGGAGAGTCCCCTGCGATGGTTTGTGAAACAGAAATGGGAGGAATGGGGTTGTGAGGCCTTGTGATGTGACACGTGTCGACTTTTCAATTGACAGTAAACAAATTCATTCTTTTACTCACGTCATACCTTGTTAAGCCTCCGTAGCATTTTCCTCATTCTTCAGAGTTCTTCCTTCTAAACTCTAATGAATTGCTTTGACTGGAAACAGGATGGGAAGAATGAGTTTGTATAAAGACCAAAGACTGTCCTGTTTGCGTTGCTTGATTTAAAGGACTTCATAAATCTATCCTGTGCCTGCAGTCAGATTTCTTCTGAACGGGTCAGTGTACTGAAGTTGTTTTCTTCGTTTGAGATTCTTAAAGGCTTTCATAGTTCCAAGGTCTTGATTTCTTCCAAATTCGTCATTTCACCTGAATATTAATAATTTAATGTCTTGTTTTTTTGTGTTTTTTTTACAGATAGCGGAATCCTATTTCCAGGAGGAGGACTGTATCCTTTTCTTAATTACAGGAAGAAATTCATCAAACTCTTAGAAAACTGCACATTTTAAAAACTTGAGATTTACATACAAGAAAATGTATAGCTATGTTATTTTTAATAAGTTTTAGTAGTTGCCTGCATCCATGTAATCACTCAGAAAGCAAAATGTAGGGACTCTGTCACTCCAGAAAATTCTCAATAAAGGAGCCCTAATTTTTTTTTTAATATATTTTTATTGATTTTGTACAGAGAGGAAGGGAGAGAGAGAGTTAGAAACATCGATGAGAGAGAGTCATCGATCAGCTGCCTCTTGCACACCCCCTACTGGGGATGTGCCCGCAACCAAGGTACATGCCCTTGACCGGAATCGAACCCGGGACCCTTCAGTCCCCAAGCCGACGCTCTATCCATTGAGCCAAACCGGTGTTGGCCCTAATTTTTTTTTAAGTATTTTTTTTATTGATTTCAGAGAGGAAGGGGGAGGGAGAGAGAGATAGAATCATCAATGATGAGAGATAATCCTTGGTAAGCTGCCTCCTACATGCACCACACTGGGGATTGAGCCTGCAACCTGGGCATGTGCCCTGATTGGGAATGGAACTGCGACCTCCTGGTTCATAGGTCGATGCTCAATCACACCAGCCAGGCAGCTCTAATTTTACCAGAATCTAAATATTTGTTTGTTTGGGAGTTGGGGGGAGAGGAGGAAGGAGGGGAAGCACATTTCTGAAAAATATAATTTAAAAATCCATTGGATTTTCTTACTTTGAATTAAGCTGAGATACAAGTCAACTAATCTATATATATAAAAGCCCAGCAACCGGAACGGCAGAAACGACCAGAACAACCGATGGCTATGACACACACTGTGGCAGCCAACCAGCCTGATCCAGTCCCCAATGGTCCCCTGATACCCCGATCAGGGGCGGGGCCAGCCGGACCCCACCCACGCACAAATTCGTGCACCGGCCTCTAGTATTGATATAATAGAGCCTACAAGCATATTGCACATAGTAGATCTCACAACTGTCACACATATACCTGCAAAGGAAAGATTTCATTTTTCACTCATAATAAACAATAATTGCTATCAAGTGAGATGGTATGTTAAATTTTATACGGAGAAGATTCTTCCCTCAGTCTTCCAATTTCCCTTTTTTAAAAACTACTCTTCTTTTTGAGGGATGGCCCAATATGGACTCTCTGGAAAGGCTGTATCAGAAACCCCTGTTTTCCCCATTTGTGTGATGTTTTCCTCCCAGCCTTGCTGACTCCCCCCACACCTCTGAGGGATAGGCAGTTGCCCCCAAACTCTATCAAGCAAGCTGGTGAAACTTTCAGACAGTGACAGTTTATCTCCGTAGAAAATCCAACTGGAGTGGAAATGAAGCTAGAACACAACACTTTTTTTTTTTTTCTTTAACTAAAGAAGTGTATTGTCTAGTGCAGGGCGGACCAGCATCAACATCTAAGTTTCTTAGAAATGCAAATTCAGCCGAAACCAGTTTGGCTGAGTGGATAGAGCGTCGCCCGGCCTGCAGACTGAAAGGTCCCGGGTTCAATTGCGGTCAAGGACATGTACCTTGGTTGCGGGCACATCCCCAGTAGGGGGTGTGCAAGAGGCAGCCAATCGATGATTCTCTCTCATCGATGTTTCTCTCTTCCTCTCTATAAAAAAAAAAAGAAAAGAAAAGAAAAGAAAGATATGCAAATTCATGGGCCTTCGAATCAGAACTTCTGGCGATCAGACCCATGAATCTGTATTTCAGCAAATTTTTGAGATTATGGTCAGTTAAGTAAAAACATCCATGGACTGTCAGTCGTGGGCAGAGGAAAGCTGAGTTCCGTGTCCAGCTTCTCCCTGGCCCAGTGTGTGGCCCCTGGCTTATTTTTAAGGCTACAAATAAGCAAACCTCTGCGTGACCTTGAGAAGGACAGAAAGCTAGACAGCGCGCGTCCCCGTCCTTCCTCCTGGCTCGGCATCGAGGACACGGCCCAGAGGAGGCAGACGACCTCCGACGATGCCAACTGTGTGATGCAGATGGAGGTGGCAGACGTTTATGAAACAATCTGCAGAGTTTCACCTAACTATGAAAATTACTGTGGCAGGTTAGTTACATTTTCAAAAAAGAGTCACGTGTTGGGCTCTGTGACCCGTAGGCGTGTAACCCTTAGATTTTTGTGAGAGAGCAGCTTTCAGTGAGAAGTAAGGGAAGGATTAAGGTGAGTGAGACCAGAAGCAGGTTGACAGGAGAGAGGGTAGCAGGTGTTTAACAGAAAGCAGTTGAAGGAGAGGAAAGAGGGAAACACAGGTGCCAGGATTCCGTGGGGTCCCTTTTCCAATTAAATCACACTCAGTTGACTGCTAGAGGGCATTAGCAAACAGGCATTCCTGAGCGTTGAAATTTCCTTTTCGCTTCTACTCTTTGCTGATAGAACGGACCCCAAGGAGCTATTGCATAATATGCCACATTAAAATGTACCTACTTCAAAACCAAAAAAAACATGTTTAAATTAAAAAATATTTAGAGTCCTCTTATTTTTTTGGTAAGCTTCAAGTTTCGTACTTTATATAGGACATTTCTTCTTCAACCATGTGGCTAAATGTAAATAGCCTGGATTTCTATTTTCCTCAAGTTTTCTGTTCAGATGAGAAAGCAATGAAGTTCATTCAGCTTGAGCGCCTGTATCATGAGCAATTGCTTGCAAACCTTTCTGCGATTCAAGAACAATGGGGTGAGTACAGAATGTGGAATTATCAGCAGTTTGACAAGCTGCTATCTAGAAAGTTAACACATTTGACCCGGTTTTGTACATCAGGAAATAAATGTTTCTACGTTCACGTTACTATTGCAAAGAAAGTTGCATTTTCACCACAAGCAATGCCATTGTGAGAAAATGTCTCTTTGTATTTTGTTCTTCATATCAACACTGAGCAAGAGAACTCCTGCCACTGCTTGCATTTCTTCTGATCCCTTTGTATGCCCTCCTGGCTAATTTAGTCTCTGAGATATTTACTTACATTGTAAAGTAATCACTTAGCTGTTTCTAACTATATTGACTTATGGGTTATTTGAGAAGATAGTTTTGCATGCTAATCTTTATAAGTGTGCCAGTTAACTATCTTCCCTCCTAAACGTGATTTGTAATAGTCAGTGACTAACAAATATTTTAAATTTAGAAACAAAATGGAAAACTGTGCAGCCACGTGCAGTCACGTCTCCAAGGAATTCAGAGAGGGGATTTAACGGTGAAGATTTTGAACGGCTAACCAAATTTTGCACAACACATCAAGAGTAAGTATTTCCGTATTTGGTTAGAGTGAGCTCGGATCAGAATATTGAAGAACCATTGTAGCATTGAATATCTGAAATACAACATCCATTTCTTTGTTTTGTTAATGTTTTCAACTGGAGAAATTAAACTGGATAAAATAAAAAGATTAGGTTTCTTTCTCAGCTTTTATCTGTTTCTTATGCCAAGCTCGGTGAAAGGTCCGCTTTACAGAGGTTCACAGCACTTTTTAATTAGAAATTTTTATTTTTTTATTGTTGGAAGTATTACATGTGTTTCCCTTTTTTAAAATTAGAAAATTTTTAAATATAACTTCTACTTTTTATCTCTGATTGGTTAAGAGATTAGGCAATTCAGATGGGAAAATTGTGTATTAGGACTGTTGGCCAATATTTGTAAATTATAGTAAAAAACATTTTTTAAAGAGTAGGCTAATAGTGGAAGCAAATGCAGTATTTAACCAACATAATGCAGAAAGGAAATTACATTTTCCTGATAATACTTTTTAATTGCTTGATTTTTGTCGAAGAATTGGATCTTTAAAGCTAATTTACAGTAATAATAAAGAACATAAATATGCTTTTAATTCGTATTTCAAGACTTAGATTTCGGAAGCTGAGGGGACGGTGCTGAATGAGTCTGGATTCAGAAGTGATAACTTATTCAGCTCTGCTGGTGACCGCTTTCTTATGTTGGTCACTGTGAACCCTTGAAACCAAGTATTTTGGGATTTTGCACTGTAACCTAATGTCTTAGCCTGTTAAATATGTGACCTTTCAACTTCACAGAGTTTTAAAATCAAGGAGTTTTTAGGCACATAAGAGATTTGCTTCCAAATATTCAATACCCTTTCCCTGCCCTTCGCGTGGAACTAGATATTTTTTTCTGCCTCTCGGCATTTGTAGCTTATTTGGGAAGTTTCGGGAGTAATTAGCCTCGGAGGAGATGAGCACTGTCGCTGCCTCTGCGCCGAGAGCCAGGCTGTGTCCGCAGTGGGAATGTTCGGAGCTAATGTCAGAGCCCCGTGGAGCTGTAACTTTTTACAGCATTTCCGTGACATTTGTGTGGAAGCATACTGCCGCTGCGATTTGTTTTTAACTCTTTCTTTTCTCTCTGTTTTCCCTACAGCCCTCTTCCATCCGCATACAAGGTAAGGGATTGTTTCTTTGGAAGCATTTACAGGGAAGACTCTATGTCATACGTCTATAGCATGACTCGCGTAGAAAATGAACCTCCTCGATTGTTTTCCCCTTCCCTTGTTGTGCTGTGTTCCCCCTTAGACGGCAGCTGCGGAGCCGGCCCAGGGGAGGCAGCGCGTGGCCACGTTGGTGGAGCCTGGGTGTCCCCTGGGAAGCGAAGTGGCGGCCCCAGCACCTGGTATGTGTTGAAGATTGAAGACTCCCATCTGCCACCCTGACTCTATCTTATCTTGCTGTCACCTCTGAGATGCTATGCTGACCTTTTTTTTTTTTGCACATACTTTTCCTAGACAAATAGCAAAATGGGATTTTTTTATATTATGAAAGTATTTTTATTTTTTTATTTTTTTATAAATATAAGGAATTTTAATATATATATATTTTATTGATTTTTTTTACAGAGAGGAAGAAAGAGAAATAGAGAGTTAAAAACATCAATGAGAGAGAATCATCGATCAGGTGCCTCCTGCACACCCCCTACTGGGGATGTGCCCACAACCAAGGTACATGCCCTTGACTGGAATCAAACCTGGGACCTTTCAGTTCACAGACTGACGCTCTACCACTGAGCCAAACCAGTTTCAGCTGAAAGTATTTTTTAGCAGTAGAAAATATAAAATCTAAGTTCTTATAAAAACAGTGATTTCCATGTTTTTCAGCAGTGGCTGTCTGTATCTAACACAGTATGACAGGATTATACAAAAATGCTCTGAAACAGAGTTGGTTTGGGTGTCTTCAGACATTCTTTTCTGTTTAGAATCCAACAATTATTACCTGGGCTTTAGCTAGCCATTTGTTCTGTATATCTAACTACTTAAAAGTTATTGATAATTTATCCATAGCATTGATTCCTCTCCCTTTTATGTTGACTAACATGGTGTACTTTAATTTGCATATATATTTCAAAAACAATTGTGATATATTTTGTATCACTTTGTGTCCTATGTCAAAAGTTAAAGATTTTTAGAAACTGATTTTTTTTTTTACATTAGTAATGTATGTCCATTATAAAAACATTAGAAAATAAAGATAAATACCTTTCAGGGTGTTTGTTTTTCCTGATGCATGATTTTTGGTTCTAATTTCTATTTCTGGGATTTATGTTCCTGAGCCCTGATATTAAATAGCAGCATCAGGCATTTGGACTGAGCTGCCTGAGAGAGAAAATGATGATGCTGCCTGCAATTCGCTTCTTATTTTTCTTTTTATAAAGTCCTTTTTCGTCCCCTAATATATCTCCCTTATTTTTATGAGGCAAATTAGAGATAGTGCCTTAGGCCAATCCTACTACATTCTGTTCTTCCCGTCTCTACTGTCCCAGTCATTTTCAGACTGGAAACCAGAGTAAAGTGAGCCTCAGTCTCAAAGGGGGAGAAAGTCGCAGCCTGGCCACCTGGCTGGGCGTGGCTGTCCCCGTGGTGCCCGCTGGGAGTGCTCTTAGGCTGAGGAACTGTTTGGCACTTGGGACTGGCTGCTTGGCCCGCACTAGCTAGGCACTCACAGCTTGGCCTCAGCTGTGAGCTTGTTCCCGACGGGAAAGCTCAGTACCACGTGGAAGGCACTTGCTCGATTCTCTGACTCACTGCCAGGCCCCGGGTCCTCTGGCTTCTCGGTAAAGGGCAGCACGCTCTGCCAAGCCGGTGCCTGGGTTACCAGGGACTCACCAGGGAGCATCCTGTGGGGAGGGTGGCCACTAGATCCACAGCGAGAAACCTGGCCACGTCTGCTGAAACAGTGTCTCTTAAAGAGAAATGTCTGACCTCCCACAGTTAGTCTTGTTTGGTTATTCTGTAAACAGATACACAGAAATGTAAGAATATGAGAGAAAAAAAAATATGAAAACGTTACTTTAAATGAATTGAATACATCATTCTTGTTTTACTTCATATTCCTCGTTTCTAACAATGAAAGACATGTTAGACTTTCCTTTTCCCTTTTCCTTCTCTCTACATTCCTTCTTCCGTGAGAGGTAACTTGCTGTTTTTGTGTGTGTCTGGTTAAAGGCTGTTTCTGCAGCCAGTTTCTCTCCCCTGGTTCGTTGACTAGCGTAGGGTTAAGCGTTTAGAACAGGGCCAGGGCCACAGTGAGAAGGCAGCGTGCTCTCACTTCTCTCTTCCTCCCCCGCATACCGTCACTGCCCCGACACCAGTGCTCTCCCGTCTCTCTGCATCTCACGCATTGCCGCTTCTCTCATTAACCCCCCGTTCTTAAAGTCTTCAAGTAACTTGCCTAGTATTTTATGCTTTCAAAATACTTGTATGTGTATTATTCATCTGTTCCTCTTAACCAAAATAAGGCCTGCCGAATCATTTGAAGAGACTCGATGAAGTGAAGTGACTTGTGCAGACACAGAACTAATTAGAACTCAAAGCCAAAACAGCTTTCTGGCCCTGTGGTCCATTATTTTTATTGATTTTTTGTAATGTTTTATATGTAGAAATAATGTTACTTATAAATTTATAAGACATGATAACGAAGTGCAGGCCTATGAACCTAATACCTAAGTTAAGGACTAAATTATTGTCAACTCTGAGGGTTAGGTGAAATCCTGAATTTTAGATTTATCATTCCCTTCCCATTTTTTTTTTTTATCAACTTTATGGACATACAATTTCCAAGCAGTAAATGTACCTGTTTTAAGTGTGTCATTTGATGAGTTTTGACAAACGTACGTACTCATGTGACCACCACTACAGGGAAGATAAGAACATACATGTTTCCCCTCTATAGCCAGTCCCTCCCACCTCCTGTGCAGGCAGCCAATACTTTCCTGTCAAGATGAGTTTTCCCTGTTTTGGAATGGAATATAAGTACAATTGCTCAGCGTATGTTTGGATAGTCACCCATGTCATTGTATGTATCATTAGTTCATGCCTTTTCAGTGCTGAGCAGTATTTTTTTTTCCTTTTTTGTTGTACCAGTTTGTTTATCCATTCACTTATTGGTAGACATTCGGATTCTTTCTAGTTTGGGGATATTATGAATGAAACTGCTAGGACGTCCCTTTGTGGATGGGTGCTTTTATTTCGCTAGGTAAATAGTTGAGGCTGAAATCGCTGGGTCATAGGGAAGGTACTGGCTTAACTATAAGAAATGGACAAGCAGTGTGTCAGTGTACCCCACGAGCATTTTATGAGAATTTCAGCTGCTTCAGATCCTTGCTAACATTTAATGTTGTCAGTCTTTTAAATCTTAGTCATTTTAGCAGATATGAAATTATGTCATTGTAGTTGTAACTTGCTTTCCCCTCATGACTGGGTATATACATTTTTAATTTTTATTTATTTTTAAAAATATATTTTATTGATTTTTTTTACAGAGAGGAAGGGAGAGAGATGGAGAGTTAGAAACATCCATGAGAGAGATACATCGATCAGCTGCCTCCTGCACACCCCCCACTGGGGATGTGCCTGAAACCAAGGTACATGCCCTTGACGGGAATTGAACCTGGGACCTTTCAGTCCACAGGCCCATGCTCTATCCACTGAGCCAAACCGGTTTCAGCCATTTTTAATTTTTAATTAACTACTGTTGAAGAGATACTAATTTATACTACTTTCAACATTTCAGACTTAGTTTAAGTATGTGTTTTACTGTAAAGTATTTACTGTGAAAATTCTTTTTTTTCAAGCCTGATACCACTCAATGTTAATTAATGAGATCTTCAGAAAGTATAAGACATAAGTATTAATTCATAAATGCTTTAGATCCCATACCAGGGGGGAGGGGGTCCCTAAAGAGAACATGGGGGAATAGGCTATAAAAGAATAACTTAGCCGAAACCGATTTGGCTCAGTGGATACTGTAGGGGTGTCGAACTCAATCAGAGAAGGGGCCAAAATCTAAAATCCAGCCTAAATCGCGGGCCGAATGGTTTACTGAACAGTCATAAACTGTCATTGTGATGAAAACGCAGCGGAGTGCAGTGATGACAGCGCGGTGCGGGCCACATTGCAAGGCCTGGCGGGACGGATTTGGCCCGCGGGCCTTGTGTTTGACACATGTGGGATAGAGCGTCCGCCTTCGGACTGAAGGGTCCCAGGTTCAATTCCAGTCAAGGGCATGTACCTTGGTTTCAGGCACATCCCCAGTGGGGGATGTGCAGGAGGCAGCTGATCGATGTTTCTCTCTCACTGATGTTTCTAGCTCTCTGTCCTTCTCCCTTCCTCTCTGTAAAGGGGTCAATAATATATATATATATATATATATATATATATATATATATATATATATTTTTTTTTTTTTTTTTTTTTTTTTTTTTTTTTTAAGAATAACAAAGCCATGTACATTCCTCTAGAGCAGTGGTCGGCAAACTCATTACTCAACAGAGCCAAATATCCACAGTACAACAATTGAAATTTCTTTTGAGAGCTGAAAACTGACTTCTGTGCATGGGCCACGAAGTTTCAATCGCACTGTACGTGCACGCCCGCACGTGGTATTTTGTGGAAGAGCCGCACTAAAAGGGCCAAAGGCCGCAAGTGGCTTTGCAAGCTGCAGTTTGCTGACCACTGCTCTAGAGCATGTGTAGGAACTTAGGTTAAGTCTGACTTCTCATTTTAGAGCTACCTCTTTAATTCATTGTGTAGGAAGTGTCTGCTGTGCACTCAGCTCTTACTCCATTTTTATCCATCAGAGTGGGCTTGTTGTTGGTGTTTGGTTTTTAGTGAAGTTAGTGCAATGGGGGGTAGCAAACTGAGCTCACTAGATTTGTGGGTTCAGAAGACCCAATTAACAGAAATGCATATCAATGTTAACAGAAGCATTAACAAGGATAAGTTTTATATTATATTGTAGATGCAGAAAATATTTTGGGTCAAACATGTGGATCCAATATTTACCCTCCCCCCTTTTCCTGGGACACTATTAAAGCATCAGACAGGGATTCCTAAAAGAGAAATCCACAGGACAAACTGGCAAGGACACAGCAGCAGATGAGACATCCAGGAAAATGGAAAGTAGAAACCGAGAAATCTGTGGCTACTACGAAAATGCCGGTTCCTGTCTGGAAAGGTTGGGATTGGAAGCGCTGAGGGTACCTCTAAAGTCAAAGGTATAAGGCCCAAGAGTCTGGCTCACGGATAGAGCGGAGGCCTAGGTTTGATTCTGGCCAAGGGCACATCGATCCCCAGTAGAGGATGTGCAGGAGGCATTCAATCAAGGATTCTCCTCATTATTGATGTTTTTATCTCTCTCTCTCTCCTTTCTTCTCTGAAATCAATAATAAAAAAAAACAACACATAAAAAATAAAGTCAAGGACGTAGGGTTGGACTGGAAACAGGTAGGAGCACTGGGACCTTAGTGCTTCAGAGGCAGCAGGGTTACCTGGTGGAGAACGTGACAGACGGGCTGGGCCGCAGGGTCAGGCTCAGCTCTAGGAAGGGCTGTTCTGTGGAAAATGAGAGTGAATGACAGTCTCATAGGCTGAGTGGTGAGACCTGCAGCCTCCATTCTGCATGAGCATTTAAGCGTGTGGCAGCCACAGCTCTGGTTTCCTCTCTGGGAAATGAGCTGCTGATCTAGGAGGGAAAACCTCCAGAAATCACGTGAAGGGCCTCCCAGTGCACGGCCCTACCCACTGTGCCACCCTGAGGCCGGCCCCTGGGGAAGGCTTGCCTTGGGCCACGGGGCTGCTTGTTGTTTCCTTTAAGAAAACCTGAGCCGAAACCGGTTTGGCTCAGTGGATAGAGCATCGACCTGCGGACTGAAAGGTCCCAGGTTTGATTCCGGTCAAGGGCATGTACCTTGGTTGCGGGCACATCCCCAGTGGGGGGGGTGCAAGAGGCAGCTGATCGATGTCTCTCTCTCATCGATGTTTCTAACTCTCTATCCCTATTTCTTCCTCTCTGTGAAAAACCAATAACATATATTAAAAACAAAAACAAAAAACAAAAATACTCAAAGTCCGGTAGACAAGCCAAGAGAAACTCAGAGGAAACAAAATGCAGAGAACAGATGAAAACTTTTTTTTAAATGAATATTATCACAGAGATTAGAGGAAATATTATATAAATGAAAGCAAAAAGAATATGTTTAGTTTTTAAATATTTCTTTTTATTTATTTTAGAGAGAGAGGAAGAGAGAGGGAAAGAAAGCAAACATCCATCAGCTGCCTCCTGCCCGCCCCCTACTGGGAAGCAAGCCCACAAGCCTGGCAGGTGCCCTACCCTGGAATCCACCTGGCAACCTTTTTGTTGCATAGGAAGATGCTCAACCCACTGAGCCATACCAGCCAGGAAAGGATGCAGTTCTGTTGTTGTTGTTTTAATTTGTATTGACTTCAGAGAGGAAGGGAGAAGGAGAGAGAGATAGAAACATCAACGATGAAAGAGAATCATCGATTGGCTTCCTCCTTCACACCCCATACTGGGTATCAAGCCCACAACTCTGGGCATGTGCCCTTGATAGGAATCAACTCTGGGACCTGGGACCCTTCAGTCCACAGGCCAGTGCTCTATCCACTGAGCCAAACTGGCTATGGAAAGATGCTGTTTTGTTTTGTTTTTAAAGAAACATTCAGAGAATTAAACACTTATAGAAATTTACAAATATGATAGCCAATATAAGAAATTATTTCGAAGAACTGAAGGGTGAAATTGAGGCAGTGTCCCAAAAAGCTGATCCAGAACAAAGAAGTTTGGCAGCAAAGGCTGAGGTGATGAGTCCATGGGGCATCCCAAAGGGAGAATGGGAAGGGCAGGGACCGCCATCAGAGAACTAATACAAGGACATTTCCCCGCATTGAGGTCATGAGTTTCCGATGGAAAATCCTACCACTGACCTAGTTGGTGTGGCTCAGTGGATAGAGCATCAGCCTGCAGACCAAAGGGTCCCGGGTTTCATTCTGGTCAAGGGCACATGCTGGGGTTGTGAGCTCCATCCACATTCGGGGGCATGCAGGAGGCAGCTGATCCTTGATTCTCATTGATGTTTCTCTCTCTCTCCCTCTCCCTTCTTCTCTGAAATCAGTGTGTGTGTGTGTGTGTGTGTGTGTGTGTGTGTGTGTGGTAAATAAGTACAAATTAAAAAAGAAAGCGCCACCAAGTACCCAACACCAAGAACAAAAAAATGTTACAAAGTGTCAGGACACCAGATGGAAAGACAGGATCTCAATCTTCCAGGAAGAAAGGCAGGTCAAAGGGGCTGGTATTCGGAACGGTTAAGCAACAGCATTCCTTCCAGAAGCAGACACAGGGCGGCAGGGCCTGCTTCAGAGTCCGGGAGACGTGGTGTCTGACCGAGGACACTTGACCCGTGTTTTGGGGGCAAAGGAATAAGGCTTCCAGGTGCGGGGACCTTTCCTTAGGAAAAGTTCCCCGGGAGAGGACAGACGGAGAGGAGACCTGGGGTCCAGAAGCCAAGGTTTCCAGCCCAGCACCTCAGGGAGTCCTAGGACTGGGTGAGGGGGGGAAGGAGTGGGAGAGGGGGAGTCAGGGTGCCCCTGCGGGGCACTCTTGGAGGCAGCGGAAAGGGGTTTGGAAGTTGGCAGACGCCCTGGAGCCATAGCTGTGCAGGGTCAGAGCTGAGAGATACAAGGAGAGATTTTTTAAATGAAGTGATGGGTCAGTTATCACCACCAAGGACAGTCAGTTGGAAATGAGAAAGAAATGCGGGTCAGTATGCACGATATGGACAAACCCCTGTGAGGTGGACGTTTGAGCAGGAGCTGCCCCAGTGCAGGGGTTGTGGGGGCAGCTGGAGGGGGGACCGTGCAGAGGGCTGATTTCCTATGTCCTCCTAAGTGTTTCAAACGTTAAAACCACTTGTTTTTCTTCGTCTCCAGAGCGTGGAGCGGGGCCTGGCATGGAGCCACGCGCAGAGAGCCCGCGGAGGGCGGACACTCCCACCCCGGGGAGCGGGTCGGAGGCAGCCTCGGGCCCGGAGCGCCCCGCCCCGGAGCTGCCCGCCCAGCCCGCCGGCCGGCTGTCTGCCCAGAGCGCCCGGGAGGACCCGGAGGAGCGGGAGGACCCGGAGGAGCGGGAGGACGGCGGCCGCCCGCAGCCGGCGCCCCAGGAGGCCCGCGGGGCTGCAGCCCAGGCCGAGGGCCCCTCCGAAGACCCCGAGGCGCCCCCCGCCAGCAGGGCAGCGACCGCGCCCCCGGTGTCCGCGGGCTCCGAGCCGACACCCCCTTTCCCGGGGTCAGCGGGCTCCCAGCTGACCCCCCTTGCCCCGGGGGCTCACCCCGCGGGCTCCGAGCCGATACCCCCTGCACTGGGGACTCCCTCCGAGCTGACCCCTCCTGCACCGGCAGCTCCCTCCGAGCCGTCAGCCCCTGCCCCGGCGTCAGCGGGCTCCCAGCCCGCACCCCCTGCACCAGCGTCAGCGGGCTCGGAGCTGACCTCCCCTGCACCGGTGACCCCCCCAGCCCCGGGGACTCCCCACTTGCCAGCGCCCCAGAAGGAGCTCCAGCTGCCGCTGGCAGATGCCCCCGGGGCGGCGCCCACAGACCCCCCTGCGCCCCCGGACCTGGAGGAGCCGCCAGAGCCGGAACCCGCGGGCAGCGATGGGGGGCCCGGCGGGAGCGGCCTGAGCGCAGAGCCTCCGGAGGGGTGCGCGGCCCCCGCAGGGCGGGGCGGCCCGGACCCCCGCGTCAGCCAGGAGGCGGAAGACTACCTGAACAGCCTGCTGCAGGGCTGCCTGCTGGAGGGAGACCTCCCGGACCTGTCCCCCGACCTGTCCCCCGACGAGGCCTCCTACAGCCTGCAGGACGACCCGCCCTCCGACGGCAGCCTGTCCCCCGACGACCTGGCCCCGAGGATCCAGATCGCCGAGGTGAGTGCTGCCCGCGGCGGAGGACAGGAATTCTGCAGCCTGAGCTCCCGGCTCAGACATGGGGGGTCCGGAATGGGAGCTGTCACTCTGAGGAGTGTCACTCCTTTTCATCTTTACATCGTGGTGATGCCCTGGAGCTCAGGGACGCCCCCAGGTATGCGCCCCGGAGTCCCCCAGGTATGCGTCTTCCCCCCCTCCTCCTCGCCCCCCGCGGTCCTAGGAGCAGCGGTGAGATGAGATGAGTCACCGCCTTATAAGGAAATTAATTTTTCTTCTCATCCATAGAAGATGGAATGGGATGCGCTCTGTCCCTTCCTCTTACTCACGTGTTTGTTGACTCCCTGAAGCTGTGACGGGAGGGAGGAGACAGGCCAAAACGCAGTGGGATTAGGAAGTCGGACTGCTAAGCCTCACACTGGGTGCTCGGAGTGTTCTCACTGGCACAGTGTTAATTTGTAAGTTCAAGATTTGTACTTGACAAAGACAGTTACTATAAATAATTGAAAGTCTTAAGCTTTCTTTAATCATTAATGAGTCTAATCAAAGCAAAAATGGGGCGGGGGGGATGAGGATCAAGATGGCCATTCTCCTTTTTTGATATTAAAATTCAGGGAAAAGAAAAGATCCTTCCTGAAGGCTCTTCATGTGGCAGGTGCTGGGGGCAGTTGGGGAGGTGCTGGGGGCAGTGGGGGAGGTGCTGGGGGCAGTGGGGGAGGTGCTGGGGGCAGTGAGGGAGGTGCTGGGGGCAGTGAGGGAGGTGCTGGGGGCAGTGGGGGAGGTGCGGGGGCAGTGGGGGAGGTGCTGGGGGCAGTGGGGGAGGTGCTGGGGGCAGTGGGGGGGGTGCTGGGGGGGCAGTGGGGGAGGTGCTGGGGGCAGTGGGGGAGGTGCTGGGGGCAGTGGGGGAGGTCTGGGGGCAGTGGAGGGAGGTGCTGGGGGCAGTGGAGGGAGGTGCTGGGGCAGTGGAGGGAGTGCTGGGCAGTGGGAGGTGCTGGGGGGCAGTGGGGGAGGTGCTGGGGGCAGTGAGGGAGGTGCTGGGGGCAGTGGGGGAGGTGCTGGGGGCAGTGGGGGAGGTGCTGGGGGCAGTGGGGGAGATGCTGGGGGCAGTGGGGGAGGTGCTGGGGGCAGTGGGGGAGGTGCTGGGGGCAGTGGGAGGAGTTGCAGGGGGGCAGTGGGGGAGATGCTGGGGGCAGTGGGGGAGGTGCTGGGGGCAGTGGGGGAGGTGCTGGGGGCGGGTGGGGGAGGTGCTGGGGGGCAGTGGGGGAGATGCTGGGGGCAGTGGGGGAGGTGCTGGGGGCAGTGGGGGAGGTGCTGGGGGCAGTGGGGGAGATGCTGGGGGGCAGTGGGGGAGATGCTGGGGGCAGTGGGGGAGGTGCTGGGGGGAGTGGGGGAGGTGCTGGGGGGAGTGGGGGAGGTGCTGGGGGCAGTGGGGGAGGTGCTGGGGGCAGTGGGGGAGGTGCTGGGGGCAGTGGGGGAGATGCTGGGGGCAGTGGGGGAGGTGCTGGGGGCAGTGGGGGAGATGCTGGGGGGCAGTGGGGGAGATGCTGGGGGGCAGTGGGGGAGATGCTGGGGGCAGTGGGGGAGGTGCTGGGGGGAGTGGGGGAGGTGCTGGGGGCAGAGTGCAGGTGCTGGGGGCAGTGGGGGAGGTGCTGGGGGCAGTGGGGGAGGTGCTAGGGACAGTGGGGCAGGTGCTGGGGGCAGTGAGGGAGGTGCTGAGGGCAGAAAGCAGGTGCTGGGGGCAGTGGGGGAGGTGCTGGGGGCAGTGGGGCAGGTGCTGGGGGCAGTGGGGGAGGTGCTGGGGGCAGTGGGGGAGGTGCTGGGGGCAGTGGGGGAGGTGCTGGGGGCAGTGGGGGAGATGCTGGGGGCAGTGAGGGAGGTGCTGGGGGCAGTGAGGGAGGTGCTGAGGGCAGAAAGCAGGTGCTGGGGGCAGTGGGGGAGGTGCTGGGGGCAGTGGGGGAGATGCTGGGGGCAGTGAGGGAGGTGCTGGGGGCAGTGAGGGAGGTGCTGGGGGCAGTGAGGGAGGTGCTGGGGGCAGAGGGCAGGTGCTGGGGGCAGTGGGGGAGGTGCTGGGGGCAGAGGGCAGGTGCTGGGGGCAGTGGAGCAGGTGCTGGGGGCAGTGGGGGAGATGCTGGGGGGCAGTGGGGGAGGTGCTGGGGGCAGTGGGGGAGGTGCTGGGGGCAGTGGGGGAGGTGCTGGGAGCAGTGGGGGAGGTGCTGGGGGCAGTGGGGGAGGTGCTGGGGGCAGTGGGGGAGATGCTGGGGGCAGTGGGGGAGGTGCTGGGGGCAGTGGGGGAGATGCTTGGGGCAGTGGGGGAGGTGCTGGGGGCAGTGGGGGAGATGCTGGGGGCAGTGAGGGAGGTGCTGGGGGCAGTGGGAGGAGTTGCAGGGGTGCAGTAGGGGAGGAACCAAACCTCCTAGGACAGGCAGCTTTTAATCTGAAAGAGAGCAAAATATGTCCCCACCTTCCGTCTAAACTGACAACATTTATTCAGTTATCTCAAGTCTCCCTGTTCCACAGACGCATATAGGGGACACATAACCGGAAGCCTTCTGTTGGGGAGAGAGATGACAGCCCAAATCGGCTGTTGGTTTGTCTCCGGAAGCCAAGGAAATAGGGTCACTCTGTAGAGCATAGATCTCTGGGGTCAGGGAGGTCAGGTGACATTAAGACGAGTCACCACGGGGCGCCCTGCAGGCGGGGGCTGGGACTCAGCAGTGGGTCTGATGAGGTCACGTGGTGGCCGTTCTGTGGCTCTTGGACAAAGGAGGGTCTTGGGAACAGTCCTCCGGGCTGTGCCGCCCGGAAGGGCCCTTTGGAGGGAGCGGGAGCCGGGCCCCCTGACCGTCGGAGAGGCGGTCCCCAAAGCAGGGAGGGTCGGGGGGGATAGCTGACCCGGGGCCTAGGTCAGTGTCCGCAGAGCCCAGGCGTAAGCACAGACTGCCTGTCCTGTCCTGTCCTCGGCCACAGGGCCTCCCCTCGGCCTTCCTTCCTCAGCCCGCCTCCCCACGTCCGGGTTAACGAATGCTCCTCTGGCCAGCATTCTCCTGCTCCTTCTCTTTCACACCATCTTCTGTTCATTCACATCTTTCCTGCCTCTTCCTGGACTTCTGCAGCAGCTGCCTGAAGCTTCCCAGGCCTCCTGTCACCTCCTCCGCCTCCAACGGTCTTATGTTAGCACGTTAGCAGGGTATAAACCTGGAGTCTCCGACTGATGCCCCGGGGGCCAGTTAATAATAACAGTGAATGAGCCCTAACCGGTTTGGCTCAGTGGATAGAGCCTCGGCCTGCGGACCCAAGGGTCCCAGGTTCAATTCCGGTCAAGGGCATGTACCTTGGTTGCGGGCACATCCCCAGTAGGGAGTGTGCAGGAGGCAGCTGGTCGATGATTCTCTCTCATCGATGTTTCTAACTCTCTATCCATCTCCCTTTCTCTCTGTAAAAAAATCAATAAATATATATATATTTTTTTAAATTAATTTATTTATTTATTTTAAGTGAGTGAACCGAGTTAGTGGTAGAGTGATAAGGAGAAGGTTCCCACCCTTGTCTAGGGGTTTCCAGCTTCATAAAACTGCAGGGGAACAGCACCCCTGAGGGTCTCGGTCTCACACACACTGTCCGTTAAACTTCTGCTGGACAATACTGTTTGCCTTGTCAGTCTCTCCCCACAACACCGTTCGGCTGCGGGACAGAGGCTGTACTACACGGCGTGGTATTCAGGACGCGGTCCTCTGGCTACTGCCTTCCCAGCGTCTCTCCTGTGCAGCCTCCAGCTGCACCTTGTGTGCTGCCACCTCTGACCTTCACCTCCGTGTCGCTCTGTTCTGGGGCGGTGACCTCCCTTCTTACACTGACTTCCTCAGGGTCTAGGTCACGCCTTTTCAGCACGTAGAGGGCCCAGGGCGTGCCTGGCTCGTGGTCAGTCCTCAGTAACTGCCAGCTGCTGCCACCATCCCCCGATCACTGAAGTCCATAATGTTTATTCTCTCCAAACTACGCCGCTGGGCTTCAAAAGAGGGAGTGGCTTCAGCCCATTCCTCCCAAAGTCCTGTCTAGCTATAACCTTTCTTGTTACAGAACACACATGTTATCCAAGAAAACACAGGTAGGTGCCGTCTGTCTGTAAATTGCTTACCTGTGTATCCATTTACTCGTTGGCATGTTTATTGAGCAGCTACTACCTCTGCCTAGTCCTCTTCCGCTTTGGTAACCACCAAACTGTTTCCTCCTTCCGTGAGTTTCTGTTTGTGCTGTTCCTCCCCTTGTTGCTTTCTGTGCATAACCCACACGTGAGCTAAATACTATGACTCCTGGCCTTTTATGTCACAAAAAGAAATACTGCCATTTGTGACAGCACGGGTGCATCCTGAGAGTATGTGTCATGCTGAGCAGTGAGTCCGTCAGGATAAGCAAAGCTCTGATAGTCATTACAGATCAGACCTTTTTCACATCGGGAAGATGGCCAGAGGTTTAATCTTGAGTTTGGCTCAAACTCTGCCAGTAGCCGCTGCGACACATTTGAAGCATGTCACCTGGGCTCTCTCAGCCTGGCTCTTCCCCCTACAGGGGGCGCTGCTACTGCTGAATGAGAGCCATCGGCATTCAGTGTGACACAGTATGTGAATGTCTTTACATAAAGTATATGTTCACTGAATTGTAGGTCTTACTGTAGAGCCCGTATATTTTTTACTTTATTTTTATTGATTTTACAGAGAAAGGGAGAGGGAGAGAGAAATGTCAATGATGAGAGAGAATCACTGATTGACTGCCTTCAGTATGGCCCACTCTGGGGATCGAGCCAGCAACCTGGGCATGTGCCTTTGACTGCAGTCGAACCTGGGACCCTTCAGTCTACAGGCCGACGACCTAGCCACTAAGCCACACCGGCTAGGGCGAGAGCCGTAGCTAAAGGAGCAGGCAGAGAGCATCACGGGTTCCTCCAGTGCAGAATGATAGTGGTAAACTTCACGTGGCTCCTGCAGTGAGACAACGGGCATGGAGGCTGTTGGTAACGGGCTAACGAATGTTAATTCTCGAGTTAGTCAGACGCCACACATGTTTGTGTTCAAAATTTACCAGCCTTGAGGTGCTGGACTGAGGAAAGCCTAGCTCACTGAAAGGATATTATTTGACATCTACTTTCTTCAATTTTGTGAGGAGGCAGTTCTAACCCCAAGACCTCTGACTGCTTGCTTTGTCACAATAGGATTTACAGTACCCATAGAAACGTGAGATAATTTTGTTTTCGCAACCATTTCATTCTTAAAATGCTGTTTGAGGTCATCATTGACGTCTGAGGGGAAGTGCAGAAGAACTGTTTATTAGCAAATGCAATAAGATGTGTTGTTTTGGTTGAATTCTGCACTTATTCGTAGAGTAAATACCACCAGCGACAGTTTTGTTCATTACAGCTCACACGTGCTTTTAGTTCATAATGGAAGGAAGGACTTGGTCTATTTTGTTTGGGTACAAGTAGAAAAATCCAAATTTAGTTTATAAAGGTTTATTATTTTTTGAGATTTAAAAATTCTTAGTCTTTTATGTCAACATTATGGTAACAGGGGGCATAGAGATGTTTGTGGGGGGTTTTTTAGAGTAGTTTGGAGGAGACACATTTCTGTGTGCCCTAAATCAGCTTACCTCCTGCTTACAGAAATGTGCGGCAGTCCTTTGAGGGAGACCTCAAACTACCGTGTTTCCCCGAAAATAAGACATCCTCCGAAAATAAGACCTAGAGCATGGAAAGATAAGACATCCCTGAAAATAAGACCTAGCGCAACTGTGGGAGAAAAAATTAATTAATATAAGACACTGTCTTATTTTCGGGGAAACAGGGTAATAGTGAGACCTTGTTTTGGCTTCCCTGCTCCCAGAGAATTAAGGAAAAATCTACCAAAGTCAGGCCTTGAACTCCTGTCTGACTGCCGTGGTGCGGTAGGTAGGAATTTCTGTCCTTGGCGTAGCTTCTAAGACCTCGGCCTAAAACTCAGGCCAGAACAGAAAGGCCCAGCCCTATCCTGAGAGTTTCCTCCTTGGCTTGCATCTCCGATGCCTGAGCTTGGCTGCTCCCTCCCTGTCCCCTGTCCGTAGACTGAAGGGCCGGAGGGAGTAGGAAAGGACACAGCGAGAACCCTGGAGAAGATCCCTGAGCAGCACCGGAAGGCAGTAATGGAAAGAACATGCTGTGCTGCTGACAGCAGGCTTTGGTGGGGAAGAATGTAGGTGCCCGGCCGGCAGGGCTGTGGTTGAGCGTCGACCTACGAACCAGAAGGACACAGTTCAATTCCCGGTCAGGGCACATGATCTCCAGTGTGGGGTGTGCAGGAGGCAGCCAATCAATGGTTCTCTCTCATCATTGATGTTTCTCTCTCTCTCTTTCTCTCTCTCTCTCTCTCTCTCTCTCTCTCTCTCTCTCTCTCTCTCTTTCTCTCTTTCTCTGTAATCAATAAAAGTATATTTAAAAATTTTTTTAAGTAGGCTGTATTAGATTTTTAATCAAGAATAAAGGGTAGCCTAAACTGGTTTGGCTCAGTAGATAGAGTGTCGGCCTGTGGACTGAAGGGTCATGGGTTCGATTCCGGTCGAGGGTATGTGCCTGGGTTGTGGGCACATCCCCAGTAGGGGGTATGCAGGAAACGGCTGATCGATGTTTCTCTCTCATTGATGTTTCTAACTCTCTATCCCTCTCCCTTCTTCTCTGAAAAAAAGTCAATAAAATATGTTTAAAAAAAAAAAAAGAATAAAGGGTTGGTGGGGTAGAGTGTCAAAATGTTGGCCCATCCCACCCAACTGTAATTTCTCACATTTGACTTCTTCCCTCTTTAAAGAAGTTGCCAAAGTTCATTGCCACCCATAGTACATAAGGTGGGGCCGCTTAGACATGACATTCAGAGCCAGACACCCAGCTGAGGCCCAGTGGGACCAGCAGCGGCTGCCCTGGGACCGGCTGGCTTCTCTTGGAAGCACATTCTGTCTTTCCAGATGATTTCCAAAGTTCTCCTCATTCTTTCGACATTCCTTCCTTCATATCTGCAATGTCTTTTGACTTACAGCTTGCAGTTACAGGTCCAAAGTTCCCATCGCAGGGGTATACAGGTAGCATTCATGGCATTCCGGGGCTCATGCGGGATTGATTATTCTGAGGAATTAAAGCAGCCTGAAAACGCCTGTGGAATGTGGGCTCACTGTTGGTGATAACTGTACGGCTTTATTTTATGGAGGAAGTAGTCCACGAAAACTCGTTCTTTTTACATTTACTAAAAGCAGGAATATCGTCTGCAGCAGTAATGCGCTCATTAAGCTAATTTCAGTTCTCCTCCTCTGGCTCTTAAGGAAGCCATTAGGACTATTTCCCGCTCTGTTTTAGCGGGAGCCTGTCAAACTGCTTTCTGTGCTGTCTGAAGGGGCTCTTGAATGTTGCTGTCTAAAATGAGATTGGCCCAAACCGGTGTGGCTCAGTGGATAGAGCGTCGGCCTGCGGACTGAGGGGTCCCAGATTCGATTCCGGTCAAAGGGCATGTACATTGCTTGCGGGCACATCCCCAGTGGGGAGTGTGCAGGAGGCAGCTGGTTGATGTTTCTCTCTCATCAACGTTTCTAGCTCTATCCCTCTCCCTTCCTCTCTGTGGAAAATCAATAAATATATCAAAAAAATTAATTAATTAATTAAAAAAACAAAAGAAGATTGGAAAGGCTGCTCCTTGCATATCTGTACTTACCATAATCATGTCACCAAAGTTCTTTCGTTTCCTCACAAAGACATCATCTGAAGTACATGTTTCCTATAAAAAGAATAAATGGCTAACATCGATTTTTTTTTTTTTTTTTTGAGATAATAGATTCTATTGGCCCGTGTTCAGGAATGCCCAGGAGAGACTATAGAGTTGTTTGGCCCTAAAAGCCTTGAGTTATAAAAAGAACAGGCAGGATCTGTAATGCTTACGCAGAGTACATTATCCGGCTGGACCTGGAGCTCGTGTGGGTATTGAGGCCATCGACCAGCTGACTGAGATTACAGGCTTGCATCCTCACTCACAGGGACCTGAAGCCAGCGAGCCGCTGGCCTCTGCAGTGTGAGGCCCACAATGCCCACCTGTGCCATCATCCGCAGCTGCCCAGGCAGGCGGCTGGCAGGCTGACCTGTGGACCAGCCTGCTGCCAGGGACCTCGCCAAGGCCTTCCGCTTCTGCCTGGCTCCACCTGGCCCCTTCCTCCCCCTCCCTGTCCTGCAGAGCCTGGTCGCTCCTAATGGCTCAGGTTTTTGTTTCTGTCTTTGCTCTTATGTAAGGGGAGGGGTGGGGTGGAGGCAGGAGAGAGGGATCCCAAGTGCAAACCAGAGGAAACGGGGGAAAGGGGGAAGGGTGGTGAGTCTGAAGAGTTATTAGGCAGCAGACTTGTTTTTGAGGGGCCAGGAAGTCAACACTTTAGACTTTGGGGTCTGATGCAAACACTCAGTTCTGCCATGGTGGCCCAGAAGCAGCTGTGAGTGAATGGCTGTGTCCCAATTGAATTATTGCATTCAAATAGGCAGAGGGGCTGAAACCGGTTTGGCTCAGTGGATAGAGCGTCGGCCTGCAGACTGAAGGATCCAGGTTCGATTCCAGTCAAGGGCATGTACATTGGTTGCGGGCACATCCCCAGTAAGGGGTGTGCAGGAGGCAGCTGGTCGATGTTTCTCTCTCATCGACATTTCTAGCTCTCTATCCCTCTTCCTTCCTCTCTGTGGAAAATCTATAAAATATATATTTTTTAAAATAGGCAGAGGGCCTTTGGCCGACGGCCATGGTTTGCCAGCCTGTGCACACTACCTACCAAGTAACCAGCCCAGAGTAACTAACTGGCTCTGAGAGTCTGGAAGAGAATCCTTGGGATACTCTGAGCATCAAGCATTCCTTAGCAAATGCGTCACTCCCTGAGGAACTGAGGGCAGCACTGGTCGTGATGTTGAAAGTGGGTATCAGATACATTTTGAGTCCCTCGTGCTTATTTCTTTGAAATTACCTATAAATGGAAAACGCAGCGGTAGATTACCAGCCTCTGTTACAAAGCAAAACCCAGCACGAATGACTAAGCAACGAAGGGTTGTAAGTGATCGTACAGGGTACGTGGCAGGGAGAGGGGCGGTTAAGGGGCCTGGTCTGGCCTCGGCCCGCTGCCTCTGTGCTGCCTGGCCCTGAGCCAGTTCAGAGCTTTAGAAATACTCAGCCATCGTCGGCGTAGAACTGATCATATTCTGTCCCATTTCGATGATGAACTGTGATTTTACATCCATAATAGAAATTCAAACGCCCATTGAATTGCATGAGCCTGGCTGCCGTTACATGGAAAATGCCACGAGCATTGCCCACCTGATTGAACGAGTGGTTCCTGTCGCCCTGCCAGGTGGTTCCTGCCGCGGGCCTGGTCTCCATACTGAAGAAGAGGAATGACGCCGTGGGAGGCCCCGCCCACATGCCGCAGAAGCCGGCCAAGCGGAGAGTGCGGTTCCAGGAAATAGACGACAACTTGGACCAGGGTGGGTACCGCCCAGCGCCTGTCTGACACAGGGCCACTCCCCGTGTCTGCTGGGAATGAGGCAGTGCCCCAAGGGAGGTAGCGGGATCTGTGAAAGAATACGGGGGCGCAGCTGTTTTATCTTCTCGAAGGAAGCAGAGAACGGGACTGTCATCGGTTCTTAAACGATTCCTAAGCGTTGTGTTTGCTCAGATAAGGGAACAGGTTGCAAAATTCATCTCCTGTCCTTCCGACCCCACAGGCAGGGCTTGGTGTTCAGAGCTCATTGCTATTAACTTGTTTGGTGTGTTGTTGGGTTTCTTAGTGAGGGTGCTGCTACTTTTTTTTTTTAATATCTTACATTTTATTCTTTTTAAAATATATATATTTTATTAATTTTTTACAGAGAGGAAGAGAGAGAGAGAGATAGAGAGTTAGAAACATCAAAGAGAGAGAATCATCAATAAGCTGCCTCTTGTACACCCCCTACTGGGGATGTGCCCGCAACCAAGGTACATGCCCTTGACGAGAATCAAACCTGGGACCTTTCAGTCCACAGGCTGACACTCTATCCACTGAGCCAAACAGGTTTCAGTGAGACTGCTACTTCTGTCTTCTTTTCAGCAGCAGTTAATTCTCCTATTTCATATGTGTGGGAAACGTTTATGGATCACAAGTTTATTCTCATCAGTGATTTCTTTACACACACACACTTATATATATGTATATATATTTATATAGATAGATAGATATAGATTTAGATATATAGATATATAGATATAGATATAGATATATACGTATGTATATAATTGATTTTTTTTTACAGAGAAGAAGGGAAAGGGATAGAGAGTTAGAGAGATCGATGAGAAAGACTCATCTATCAGCTGCCTCCTGCACACTCCCTACTAGGTATGTGCCCAAAACCAAGATACATGCCCTTGACTGGAATCGAACCTGGGACCTTTCAGTCCGCAGGCCGATGCTCTATCCACTGAGCCAAACCAGTAAGGGTTCTTCAGTGATTTCTTGACTCCACAGAAGGAAGTCTCCCTTAAGGGCAGCAATTTAACACGGTTGCTGTTGTTGGACTTTCCTCCTGGGCCGCTAGGCAGATGCAAGGTTTCCCAAAGGCAAATAAGAGTGAGTGGAAAGAGAGCCAAAACCTTCTCCTGTTCATAAAAGCACAGTGTGCGCATGTACATACACTTGCTAAGTATGGCACAAAGTGAGGGAGGTTTCTAGACTCATACAATCAGGAGTCTTGGGAATAATCTGTTCCCGCCCCTCGTTTTAGCTCTGCACCTTGCCTGTAACTCCCACTTTCTTCCCCAGATAAGATGCGTAATTCTGTGTGCTCTAATGGGCCCTGAATGGCCCCCCTCCCCGGAGGAACCCGGGTTCAGAGCTAACATCCTGGTTCACCCTCATCTTAGACCAGGTCTCATCGCCCGTGCTCAGCAGCCGCTGGGGCCTCTGCACAGTGTTTCCATTCGTGTAGATAAAGCAAACACATGTTTATAAGTAAACTATCACACATGTAAAAGCCAAGCAACCGGAATGATGGAATGACCAGAACAACTTTCCACGGCCCCTCCCCCATCTTGGGGCAGGATGGCTGGACCCCACTTGCGCACGAATTTGTGCACCGGGCCTCTAGTTTATAGGACTATGAAGGAAAATATGGAAAGATACATTCCTGTCAGTGGAGGCGTGCAGGAGGCTCTATTCCCAAAGAAGCACTGCCTTTCTTCTTTTTTATGGAAGTGTTCATGGTCATTGTGCAGAGGAGCTGCTTTTTTTTTTTTAAATATATATATTTTTATCGATTTTTCACAGGGAGGAAGAGAGAAGGATAGAGAGCTAGAAACATCGATGATGAGAGAAACATCAACCAGCTGCCTCCTGCACACCCTACTGGGGATGTGCCCGCAACCAAGGCACATGCCCTTGACCGGAATCTTACCCGGGACCTTTCAGTCCGTAGACCGACGCTCTATCCACTGAGCCAAACGGGTCTCGGAGAGGAGCTGCTTTTAAGTGGAGCGTTGCCGGGCTGCAGGGGGCATCCTGTACGGCGGCCAATCAGCAGGCGCTTGCAGAACGGGAGTGCCTTGGCTTTCCGTCCACATGTCTGTCTGTCCCGAGAGGACTCAGAAACACCTGATCTTCATCGGAGAAGACCGGGGGCGCCCGGGTTTCCGTTCGTGCGGCCTAACCCCCCTCTGTTCTCCCGTTCGCAGATGAGCCTGGCAGCGGCTCCTGCCTCTTGCTGGTCCTGCTGTGCATAGCCACGGTCCTCCTCAGCGTCGGGGGCACGGCGCTGTACTGCGCCTTCGGGGACCTGGCGTCCCCCGTGTGCACGGACTTCGCCCTCAACGTGGACTTCTACTACTCGAAGCTGCTGCGGGGTGTGGCGGGGCTGAAGCACTGGGTCTACCTCTCCTAGCGCCCGGCGGGCCCGCACGGGGCGGCCGGGACCGGAGAGAAGCTTTTATTTGGGGAGTTGTGGAACGGCTGAAGACCCGAGGTCAGCAGCAAAGAGCTTCCGAGGCTCCGATCCTGGGGGGCTCGGAACCATCGGCGCAGGAAGCAGAGTGGACTGCGCAGTGGGTGCGGGAAGACCTGCGGGGAGCACCCCAGGCCCTGCTGCGGCCTCCGCAGCGGCTGCCCTGAGGTCGCAGCCACGTGTCTTCAGCTGTCCCGTCCAGCCAACCCTCCGAGGACACCGGGCTCCTCTAGCTGGCCCCAAGGCAGCGCTTCCGGCCGTCACGCAATAAGTGTGGGTGTGATCAGAAGGCGTCCCCTTCGGCGTCGTGTGTGTTCCGTTAGCCCGGAGCGCCGTGGGCTCTGTGCGTCGTTCACACGTTCTGTTCTCCGTCTGTGGACCGGTGGTGTGTACGTGCGTGTGCGCGGGTGCGAGCATGTGTTCCGGTTCATCATAGCAAATACCCAACGCACAACAACAACAACAAATGACCTTTATTCTTCTACCTTGACGATAGATGTGCAGGCACAAACTCCTCAGAGCAGGTTGAATGGGTTGTAGAGACCTCGGCCCTGAAATGGGACACTGGGACAGATCTGCGACAATTAACGTGATTAACAAGCCGGGAATTAATTACAGACCCGGAGGAGAAATGAAAGCGCTCCCTGAGTCTCAGGCCGGCGGTGTGATCGTGGATTCGACACCTCGTGGAGTGTGATGAATGCGGGACTCAGTCTGGCAAACACTCATGGAGCACCTGTTAGGTTCTGAGTCTTAAGAACTAAAATGCAAAGATCATGCGATGCCAGTTCCCGCTCTTCATCCTGGCCTTATGTTAAAAAAAAACAAAAACAACTTTGGCAAATGAAATGAAATCACCACATAACCCAGTGTTCCCAGATCATGCGTTCCGAGGTCAGAATGTACGTTCATGTCACAGGCTCCATTCGGCCCTTTTATGGGGTCATTAAGCAAAAATCCCATCATGTCTTAAGCAAGCCAACGTCTGGATTTTGTTTAAATCTGTCAGTCACGTGGCATTTCCTTCTCTAAGGTCTATCATTTACGAAGCCTTGCTGTGGCTTTTTATACCATAGGCAGCGTTTTAAAAGAAACAGAACATGAATTATAGTTTTTCAGCGAGTGATCATTTGCTTCATGTTTTCCCGTCAGAATCACGTGAAAGGAAAAGGGAGGAGCTCCTTCCTCGTTGTTACTGGCTGGTACAGTACCCTCGTGTTCTGCTTATTTATTTGGATTATGTGAGTTTTGAAGGGCTTTTTACTTGTGTTGAACGTGTGTTTTTGAGCATGCCTTCGGTTTTCCCAATGTAGGTATCTGATTACTGTGTACGTCGTACTTTGATTTCCTATCAATTCAGTTCCTCGTGTTTTTAGCCTTGTTTATTTTTAAACTGATGTTTGATTTTCACGCATAATACTGTTTGACTGTCTCGTGTCACCCATAAACTGTAATATTTTCAAGGATTATAGATCAAAGATATTTATTTAGAAGTATACGAGATGCTGAAGTTTAGATTCTTTATGCATAAGGCTGATTTTATTGGAAGGTTATTTTAATGGTCTATTATAAATTTTAAGAATTTGTACTCAAGCTGTATGTAACATATGTAAATGTCCACGGCACTATCTGAGGTGGTTCCACAGAAGACTTTCACCGCGTCTGCCCGAGGGATCCCCTCTTCTGCGTCACCCCCTTGGCTCCTGGTTATGAGAATCTGATGAGTCTGGTCTCTGACGGTTTTATGTGAAGATCAATCAAAGCTTCCTCCTGTTCCCCCCTCTGAGTCGCTGTGGCAGTCCTAAGGACCCCGAGGGTCTGCTTCTCCATACCAAAGGTCTCCTGGGAAGCTTGGCGCTGAGCTGAGAGGACCAAGGCGACACCCGGGTCCTCAGGGGCCCAGTTGGGTCTCAGAGGAACCAGGTGTGTCCTCACACTTCCCAGGAGGGGAGAGGGGGGAAGCATGCTCACGAGTATGGTGAGGTCTGGGCTTGAGACAGGCATGAAAATCGCAACTGGGAAAGGTAGGGCACCGCTTACAGTGTGATCGTCACTCATTGCATGAGTCGGAGTAATCCCATCTGGTGGTGAAAGCATTGTTCTCGCACACATGGAAACTCATCTGGCTGTCCTCTGAGGTAATCATGTGACAGTCTGGACAACTGCTTGTAACTACTCTTCCTTGAGAACTGTACTGGAGGGTAACCGGTCAAGCTTGTCACTTAAACTCTTCACCAACCAAGTGTCTCCGAGCGTTTCTTTGGGTTCCGGGGTGCGGAGAAACACTGCCGTGAAGTAAAACACTTCAGAAGCTGGTCTGGGCCCACAAGGAGAGAGCGGTCTGTGTCGGGAAGTCAAGCAGGTCCCTACCTAAGGGCTCTCTGCTCTCAAAGGACCTCCCGGTCTGCCTGGCATGGTAGCTGGGATTTGCTCTAGGAATCCATCCCTTTTCAAATAATCCATTCCTTTAGGTTTAATAATCCGAGTCCTAGGGAGGCTTACTGTAAGCCGTGAATGTGTGTATTATGCTGAGAGGACCTGATGGGGAGGATAGGGGTGGGCAGAGCAGGGTGGGAAAGGGGTAGGAACTGAGCAGTGAAAAAGCACGTGGGCCAGAATAAGCCCGTTAGCTATTAACCTGTTTGGCTAACGCTGGCTTTGTGGCATTCACTCCCAATCCAGAGAGAGGCTGGATTTTTGTCCTCCCGTTCACATGGCACACGTAATTCGGTTCATTTCCGTTGGCTCAGTTAATACTAACCCACCCTGTGTCCTTTCTGCAGCATGATAGGGTTCTCTGTTCTCTCGTTCTTTCATCTGATGCTTAGATCACTGAGCTTACATTCCCTGAAGTCCGGGTATTGTAACTCCAAAATCCAGTTCGAGGTCCATTCTATCACATTGCCACCTCCTCAGAAAGAGCTGGTGAGCCGGGTCTGTCCGGTACTGTCTGCTATTTTAGCAACTTCAAAGACAATTATCACTGAGCCTCCTGTACTAAGCTACAGTGCGGAGAGCCTCCTTAAGGGGTTCTAGTAAAAGGTATTCATTCCTGACTTCAGGCACTGAGAGAGGAGGTGTGGGAACCCGTGGTCTTCTCCCTGACTCACGGTGGTTCCCATGGCAACAAACCCATCGTGTGTGGAAAATGCCTTTGACTCTGCTCTCAAGCAGCAATTTCCAGCCTTGTTCACCTCACGGCACACACAGCAATTACTAAAATTCTGCAGCACTCCAAAAAATATATTTCTTGACATCTGACACAAAAAGGTATAATTTTTACTGATTTACAAAAATACATATAATAATAGTAATTATCCCTTTTTGCTCCAAAGTGGCTTTTTAAAAAATGTGGTGCCTCTCCTTGTATGTAAGGATCTCTGGTACCAAGAAGGAACCAATCAGACACAGCTTTCTTATGCAATGTGTCCAATGTGATTCAACTCTTATTCAATGATCTATATATTTATGGCTCAATGCAGGGCATTCACCCCTGGACAGCTATTGTTGTGCAGGCTTCTGTCATCTTTCTGTTTGGCAATCTAATGGAAAAGAGCAGTGCTCTGGCTAAGGAGTGAAGCATTGCGTGTGTTAAAAACTGGCTCCTGATTGAAAAGCGCTGCACGCAAGTACCAGCTGTTTACCCTGCGGGTCTGAGGTGATGGAGCTGGGGCTGGCTGCCTCCACTCTGCACCAGGAGGGAGGATCACAGGCTACATCACTAACCCGAGAAAAGGTCAAATTCACAATCTGAAGTTCAGTTTCTCCTGGATGGGTGTCACTTCCACACCACCATAAAGTCAAAAACTAACCAGCCTAAGCCGGGGACCACCTGTATATACAATACCAAAGAATTATGAGAAAGCTGCCAAAGCTAATAAATGAACTCAGCAAGATTCACGTAGGGTACAAAATCAGCACACAGAAACCAGTTGTGTTTCTAAATAGGGAATTAAGGCAATTCCATTCACAACAGAATCTCAAAGAATAAAGGTAACCAAGGAGAAGACTTGTACACTGAAAACTACAAAAATTGCTGAAATTAAGGAGTATCTAAATCCATCTATTCTGTGTTGATGGACAGGAAGACAATACATGGTGGGGCAAAAGTAGGTTTACAGTTATGAGTGCTCAAAACACAAGACTTGGTTCTTATATTGTTTTTCATGTCTTATTTTCCAAATGAACAATTGTAAACCTACTTTTGTCTCACCCTGTATTGTGAAAATGTCAGTACTCCTCGGAGATCTACAGAGATTCAAGCAGAACCTATCAAAATCCTAACACACACACCCCTTTTTTTCTCTTTCTGCAGAAATGAAAAAACTGATTACCAAATTTTATGGCATTGCAAGGGGACCCAAATAGCCAAAAGTCTTTTTAAAAAAATATATATTTTATTGATTTTTTACAGAGAAGAAGAGAGAGGGATAGAGAGTTAGAAACATCGATGAGAAAGAAACATTGATCAGCTGCCTCTTGCACACCCACTACTGGGGATGTGCCCGCAACCAAGGTACATGCCTTTGACCGGAATCGAACCTGGGACCTTTCAGTCCACAGGTCGAGGCTCTATCCACTGAGCCAAACCAGTTTGGGCTAGCCAAAATTCTTAAAAAAAGAAAGCCGTATTTGGAGGACTTACATTTCTCCATGTCAAACCTTCCTACAAAGTTACAATAATCAAAACAGTATGACACTAACATAAAGATAGGCATATAGACCAATGGAGGAGAATTGAAAGTCCACAGTTAATTAAGCTCATATGCCTTTGGCTAGCTGATTTTTGATGAGGGTGTCAGGTCCATATGCAAGAGAATGAAACTGGACCCCTGCCTCATACCATATACAAAAAGGAATGCAAAGTGGATGGATGAGCCTGGCTGGTGTGGCCTGCTGGTTGAGCATTGACCTATGAATCAGGAGGCCAGGGTTCAATTCCCAGTCAGGGGGCATGCAGGAAGCAGCCAATCAATGATTCTCTCTCATCATTGATGTTTCTATCTCTCCTTCTCCCTTCCTCTCTGAAATCAATAGAAAATATATCTTTTAATGGATGAGTGACTGCCCTGGCTGTTGGGCTCAGTGGTAGAACATCAGCCTGTGCAGTACAGGGTCATGAGTTAGATTCCCAGTAAAGGGTATGTTATGTACTTGGGTTTTGATTTGCTCCCCAGTCCCAGTTGGGGCATGTGGGGCAACCAGTCGATGTCTCTCTCACATGGATGTTTCTGTCTCTAACTCTCCCCCTCCCTCCCACTTCTTCTGAAAAAGCAATGGGGAAAAATATGGATTAATGAAAAAAAATTTTTTTAATGGATTGATGATCTAAATATAAACTATAGTAAATCCATAAAACTCTTAGGAAACATAAGGGTAAATCTTCATGACTAGGCATTTCGCAATGGATTCTTAGATAGGATACCAAAAACACAAGCAACAACAACAAAAAAAAAATAGGTAAATTGAGTTTCATCAAGACTTTTTAAAAATTTGTGTATCACCGAAACCGGTTTGGTTCAGCGGTGGAGCGTCAGTCTGCGGACTGGGGGGTCCCGGGTTCGATTCCGGTCAAGGGCATGTACATTGGTTGCGGGCACATCCCTGGTGGAGGGTGTGCAGGAGGCAGCTGGTCGATGTTTCTCTCTCATCGACGTTTCTAGCTCTCTATCTCTCTCCCTTTCTCTCTGTAAAAAATCAATAAAATATATATATTTTTTTTAATTTGTGTATCAAAGGAAATTATCAGGAAAATGAAAAGACAACTAATAGAATGGGAGAACATTTTTGAAAATTAAACATCTGGTAAGGCTTTAATATCCAGGCTATATAAAGAACTTCTAGAATTCAATAAAAAGTACAACAATCCAATGTAAACCAGTGCAGAGCCCTTGAATATGCATATCTCCAAGGAAGATATGCAACATTTTAAAAATATAATATGGTGGTGAATGCACTTGATGCCACTGAATTGTACACTTAAAAGTGGTTCAAGATGCTGAAACCGGTGTGGCTCAGTGGATAGAGCGTCGGCCTGCGGACTGAAAGGTCCCAGGTTCGATTCCAATCAAGGGCATGTACCTACTCCTCTCTCATTGATGTTTCTAACTTTCTATCCCTCTCCCTCTCTGTAAAAAGTCAATAAAATATATATTTTTAAAAAATGGTTCAAGCGGCAACTTCTATGTTACACGTATTTTACCACATCATGTACATACACACAAAAAGCTGGCACTCCCAAGTGTTGGTGAGGCTGTGGGACAACCAAATTCTCACCGGCAACTGGTGAGACTATGAAATGATACAAGTGCTTTGGAAAACAGCTTGTCCGTTTCTTATAAAGTTCAGTGCCCACCTACTGCGTGCCCCAGCAATCCCACACCTCTCTTTGTCCGTAGCAGCCAAGAAATGGAACCCCCTCCCTTCCTTATCACAATAGAAACCTATTTAACAGTAAAAAATAATACAGTATGGATACATAAGTGACATAAATAAATCTCAAAACAATCATTCTGAGTGAAAGAAACCAGGGGGGAAAAGAGTACATAGTGTATGTTTCTGTTTTATAAAAAATGTTAGAGCCGTCACCGGTTTGGTTCCGTGAAAAGAGTGTCAGCCTGCGGACTCAAGGGTCCCAGGTTCGATTCCGGTCAAGGGCATGAACCTTGGTTGCGGGCAGCTGATCAATGATTCTCTCTCATCGATGTTGCTCTCTATCCCTCTCCCTGCCTCTCTAAAAAATCAACAAAATATATTTTTTAAAACGTTAGAAAATGTAAACCCATTCATAATGACAGAAACAGATCAGTGGTCCCTTGAGCAGCAAAGGATGGTGGGAAGTTGGTCCAGGGCACCTTTGGGATTGACAGAAATGTATCTTGAAGCAGCCATATTTCATGGGTAGACACATCTTTCTGAATGCATTGAGTTGTGCAGTTTGTATAGATGCAGCTGTGTATATGAATGATACCTCAATAAAATCATTACTTTTAAAGAGTAAGCTCAGCTTGTAACTTCATAGCATCCCAAGGGGATGTGAGGGGCCAGGGCGTCCCTAATGTGTGTCAGGACACCTTACTCCCTTCTGCTGGTATTGCTTAATCGGGCTGGAAAAATGGTTCATCATTAATGTTTCTATCTCTCTGAAACATTAATAAATCAATAAATCAATAAAAAAAATATTTTTTAATGGATGAGTGAATGCCCTGGCTGGTGTGCTCAGTGGTTAGAGCATCAACC